GTCAGCCCCAGCCCCGACCCGCGTAAGCCCGCGTACCGAACAGGCCCTAAAACAAATTTGCCAACAAGCAGAGTGAAACCCGGGCTGCCCGTCCTCGGGAATCTCCGAATCGGCGTCTAACATTCCAATCCTGTGCGCAGATCTTGTTGTACCACGAACTTCTTCGGTTATCACTACTCGTCGCTCCACAATCGATGCCCCAGCTACCAGACAACCCTTTCGGACGATTCTTTGGTGTAAATACTCCTCCCACTGCAGAGGAATGTTCAGCGGTGAGATCGTTCATGCGTCCATTACAGGGCGAGCTCTCTGCTCTCGATAATGAGATTTCTCGCCTACAATCTCTTGTTAAAGATCTCATATCGCGACGAGATCCCATCAAAGAGTATCTCTCTCAGCATCAGAATATCATATCACTCATCCGTCGACTTCCTTTCGAAATTCTCTCCCAAATCTTCATCGCATGCTTGCCTACAGCTCATCATGCTACGCGGGATCTCACACAAGCACCACTCGTGTTCACAACTATCAGTCGGCGCTTTCGGGACGTAGCTATATCGACACCGCGGCTGTGGAACTCCATCCATTTCACTCTACTGCCTTCCTACAACGACCCGAGGGATTTCATCACAGAGGAGTACGTCGCTCGTGTTTCTCATCGACGGGACGGTGTTAAACTATGGCTTGAGCGATCTGCCGCACTCCCTCTCTCTTTCTCTCTCGTGCTTGAGAGGAAGATTTATGAGCGTGACGCCTTGGGTAACCTTCTCGATGCGACCAAGCTTCTGGAAATATTTATGCAGCAGCATCTCAGGTGGAAGGATGTGTATTTAAGGGTTTCGAGGCACATCGAGATCCAAATCCTCAACCGATTTATCTCTGATGAACACTTTCCGATCCTCCAACGTTTGAAAGTGGATACTTATTCTCGCGCAGGAGACGTGATCTCATTCGACAATGAACTCGACGACGATACTATCCTCAAATTACAAACTCGTACTATAGAACGCTCCCCGGCTCTTCAAACCCTGCATTTGCACGCGCCTATACGCACCTCCCTGAGTTATTCCAGAAACCTCACACATTTGACGCTGCTTTCAACACCCTCTTCTCAGGATCAGTACCTCGAAGATGACCTATTCAAGTTGTCAAAGGAAACCCCCGCCTGCACTCCCTAGCACTGGCAGCTGCATACCTCCCTGGCGTGCGTCCCCCGGGGCGCGTCGACAATTCGATCGTCTTCCCAAAGCTTCACACTCTCGAGTTCCACCTCGAAGCCCTACGGTTCTACGCAGAGGCAGACATGGGGGAAGTAGCATTCACCCGGTTTTTTGATTCCATCCACACGCCGGTGCTCAGGCGATTGAGCATCGAAATGCAGGAGATCGAGGATATCAGCATCACATGAAAGTGTATTCAGGTCGCGCCTTTTCGTGGCCTAATATCTCGAGTTTTGGGGGGTTTGAAGCACCTGTGCTTGGACGTCCCGATGACGTTTGAGGCTCTCATCGATTGTTTGGGGAGGCTACAGGACGGAGGCTGTCTTGAATGTTGGAGGTCCGAGAGCCGACACAAACTCGATGGTCGAACGGGGAATCAAAACGTGCGCACCAGATCTCCCTTTCACTTGTTATTCCAATACACTAATGTATAATCTACTGTCGTCGCCAGCTGTTTATGCGGGGATCGCTGATTACCTTCTCCGAATACCGACACCAGTACCAGCGACTGAGGACGACTGTTCTAGACCGGGCTCGCACTTGGGGACCCTACGACTCCCACACCTTAGATAGCTATCTCTAAAGGACTGGACTCGTGTGGAAACGTATCCTTACTTGATCCAGCTTGCCAGCGAACAATCCAAGCTATTCATGTCAACTGCGAACGTATGCGCTCCATTGATGAGACTCAGAGTCGAATTTGATGAAAGTGCGCTAGATTCATTGAAGTTGTTGGAGGGATATTATCTCGAAGACCCCAGGCCCAGTGACGGTCCCAGTCTGACCAGGGGGAACAGATCTGTTATGAGGAAGAGCTCGAGATACCGCCTTGGGTGTCAGCAAATAAGAGAGATGAAGGATCTGGGAACAGACGTGGTATTGCTGTACTCTTTGTTGCCTCGTGCTGAGGAAACAAAACTACGAGTATTAGATGATCCGTATGCGGGTACTGTCCGGCCGTTTCCGCGATGGGTTGGGAGTGGTTGAGGTTTTAGTTGAGGGAACTGACATGAACTTGAGTCACTCAGTGGTGCGTTGTTTACCCCTGTGGCTGTCTGACGCGTTTTGTGGCTTATTTGCCAATGAAAGGTCATGTCTTTAGCATGTCATCCTGTGTGCATCAGTATCTCCGAGCCGTTCACTGTTTTGTTGCGTACTCCTACCTCGCATGTAAATTTTACCACAACCACGAATTATCTGGACCAGTAAGACTTCAAGTTTACTCCTTGGCCCCCGTTGTCATTGTTCAGACAAGCACCAGCGTCGGTCCGGAAGTTGGTCCAACACCGGCGCCTAGCGCTTAATGAGAACTGCTTCTTCTCGAACAACCATCATCGGGAGAATTTTCAACTCTTGCCAGTGTCAACACTCGCACTACTTCCTAATACTACTACTGGATTCAACCTGCCGAAGTCGAAGATCACGCCACTAAGGCAGGATTAGATGTGTAATCATGTCCATGGGGAATCGGGATGTTCGGTGGTACGTACTACTAGTTCCCTTTACCGTCGTTTTTTTCTCAACAACTTCAAAGGTCATCTCTCTACGGTTCACCGTGTCATTTCAGTGCTTTCAAGATTGCTGACTAGGGAAAATCTATTCGAAGACATCTGCTTTACAGAATAAAGAGCCTTAAGCAAAGTTGGTAGTCCGAAGACTCAAAAGGGAAAACACAACATCCGAGTTTGCCATCTCCCCCCTCTTTGTCAGGTTACAGTATCTGTTCATCTGTCACTCATGAACGATTTTCCCCGTACCTCCCCACTGGAAGCCGTACTCGTGACCTCCCCCAAGACCTTCTCTGTCAGACCCAGTCACCTAACTGGTAGACCGGCTTATAATTCCCTCTCTCATGTTATGGCTCCATGACGTATATCGATCCGACCGATGTGAACAAGTTAGTTTCATTTATAAGGATTCATGAGGAACGTATCGATCTTCCACACCCCCACGACGATGTCCCAAGCCACCGATCCCAAAGACGCAGTCACCTTCTACGGCTTCACTCCCGTCCCTCGAGACCCCGACGTCCTTTTCAAGGATCATCCAACTGCGAACCCTAACAATCCAAACCCACAGCAGGATTACTTTACTGCAGAAGATTTTCTACCGTTGCCTGGCGAGAAGTCGGAGCTTGTGAAGAGTGTTCGAGAGTTTGTTAGGGTGAGTTTAGTACGAAGATTGAGTGGGATGTAGGCGAGGGCGGGGTGCGTTGGGAATTGAGGGGAGGTGTGATGATGATAGGACTTACTGATCGTTGATTTTTCTACAGAAAGAACTGGATGAACAAACGTACAATCACAGTCATCGGGTTTATGTCTACGGTGTGTTCGCCTCTCCCAGGTACACTTTGTCTTTCGAGACTGATTGGTGAACACCCCCCATGCGATGAACAGGCGTAGCCTTGGTCAAAACCCACTTCCCATCATGGTCCTACGATTACACGACCTACTACCTTACGTGCCTCTTGCACGACATTGGCACCGCCGAAAAGTACCTCGCGACCACCAAGATGTCGTTCGAGTTCAAGGGAGCGATCGTCGCAAGGGACCTCATACTCTCGTTAAAAGGAGCAGAGGATCAAGCGGATAGTATCTGTGAAGCGATCGTTAGGCATCAGGATATCTTCGTGAAGGGGTAAGGTCTTGTATGAAAGGCTCGGCTCGAGAGTACTCGATTGATCACGACACTCATCTCTTAGAGGCAATATCACGACGATCGGACAGATTCTGCAGCTTGCGACTATTCTCGGTAAGTTGGTTTTTGGGAGTCTAGTCTCGAACTTGCACCAACCTCGTTTTCATACGCAGATAACGTCGGAATGTAAGTTAACATCCTTTCTCAACTCAACGATACTTACTTCTCCTTTCCCTACGCCACTACAGCCGAGCGAACCTCATCCACCCCGACCTCATCAAATCAACCACATCAGTCTTCCCCCGGCTCGGCTGGTCAGAACGCTTTGCCAGCGTCATCGAAAAAGAAGAATCCCTAAAACCTTGGTGCCATACAACGACTTTCGAGGTTCCCGCGTGGAAGCAAGGAATCAAAAGTAATTTCGCGACGGATGTGAGGGGAAATGAGGTTATGAAGCCTTTTGACTAAGCCTCAAGGAGAAGGGAGTATGTACGTAGTTTCTTTTTTGCTTTCAAAATCTCGCAATAAAGTTGAAGTCTGAGATGTGCGACCGTTTTGAGATTGGGATTGAAGCTGGATCGGTTTCCTTGATCAACCACCGGCAAGTTTGAAGTAGGCCATTCAATGTTTCCGTGCCGGTGGATGACGCACTCTGGACCCGAGAGAGCGAGGTCGGAGGAGCATTTGAAGCCAAATCGTAGATGGAAGACCCTTCCCATGAGCAAGAGACACTGAGAGCCGTTTCAAGGTCGGGCACTAAGAAGCGGTGGCTATTGAAAGGCATCGAATCGAGTTCCACGACCGAGGTGCAGATATAGCACGTCTCGAAAGCACATTGGTCTGTCGGCAAAACATGCGAGGAGGTAGTCGCATGGTTGATCGGACTCCGAAGCAATTGGAAAGAGAACAAAGTTGATAGTAAGGTGAGGGAATGTTTCTTTCCGACAATTGAAGTTCAACTTGTACGAGGGGGGAGTGAGAAGTGAAGGGAGTTTGTGGTCCCTGCGAAAGCGAGAAAAAAAAAAGCTCGTAGATTTGAGACTCTCCATTGAGTGGCTGGCGTTGTAATAGCAGATAATGGTGAATCTCGACGGAAAGAGAAAGAAAAAAGTGGTTCTATTACATGGCACTAGAAATCGACAATGCATTAAGAGGGAATCGAACCCCCGGCGGGTCGAACCAAATCGAACGGAACCCTTAAGTTAATGGCAACGACCCAGGTTACCACTACCCCATTAATGCTTCCCTCAAAGTCTCTAATTGAGGGCATATGTTGGGGCTCGGAAAGGTTATACAGCGAACGAGGGAGACTGAAGGGACGGGAGCGAGGCTCGAGAAGAGATAGTAACCGTGCACTCATCGATCTTCGGCGTGTGCAAGAGAACCACACAGATCGATAACGGCTGCGCGATGTGGGCAAGGGCACTTATCTCCGTTCTCCGCTTTTTCGAACAAAGCAAAAAAAGTGCAATACTAAATCGGGCGCTAAAGTATGTATTCGGAAAGTTCAAGAACACCTGGGCAACGGGATTACAAGCTTGTATTACACCACAGAAAAAGGTATCTTACATAGACATATGTAGAAAGGCTTGAGACCGAACGACACGGAACGTCTTTGGTAAAATGAAAGAATTTAAGAAATCCTTCCGAAATCAATATTCACTCGAGGTCTCGGGGGTTGACCTTCCCCATGGGCCGCAGTCTCAGCTCACCCAGAGTTCCCGAGGCTCGAGGTACGCGCGCCCTGAACGTAACACACACCCTCAAAAAAAATAATCTCATCATCGTCATCAACATTCCCGGGTATCCAAAGAGAAAGTCGACACATAATAAAAAATCTGATCAGTCGAAACCAAACTTAGTATGTAGAGTAGGTAAGACAGGTGAGGGTAACGATCTGACGACGACGGGCGTCCCTAAGCAGCAGTACGGAAGTAACTATACGTACGTGGGGTGTGTGTGTGTTAAAAGGACAATAGGTACGACTAAGTCAAAGAGAGAAGGAGAAGAGTAAAAAACCATCTATGACACTGCTCATATCCAAAAACCAGAGAGAATAAGTTAAAACTCCTGTCGCCGGTGGCGAGGTGGGTTTAGAGATAGGCAGCGAACACGGCGGTGGAGACAACACCGGCGACGACGGCGACAAAGTCAACAGCGCGGACCTGGAAGGCACCGTTCTTGGATGATCCCTTTCCGATACCTCCAACACCCTGAGACGCCCCGGTGTTCAAGAAGTTGGCATCGCACTTGTCTGAAACCGCTTGGAAAAGCGCGGGCTCCCCCTTGAAAAGCTCGCTGTTGGCAAGTCCAGCGGCATGAGGGGTGTTCTGCGCAAACACCTGGTACCCTGTGAGGATGTTCCTTGTGCACACCGTGCAAAGTTTGCCGGCGTCAAGATCAGGGCTGAGGAAGAGGAAAGGTGCATTGGCATCACCCATGGCGGTGAGGTTGGTAGAATCAGTCGCAGAGAACAACTGTTGCTTGACGCCCTCTGTCAAAGCTGAGTTCTGGGAAGCGTAGGTGGAGGCGCTCATGACACAGTAGTTGCCGGCATCGTCTTTCGAGCACAAAGCAGTCTTGAGAGGAGAGTAGGCGTAAAGGCTGTCGTAGGTGGAGATGACATCTGCACGTTTAGCGTCGAACTCAGCTCTGCAGGCTGTAGCGAACTCTGCAAGTTTGCCACGAATGGCAGTGTCGGAGCATGGGTCGTTGTCGTTGGCGGTTGTGGTAGAAGTGCACACAGTCTTCAGGGTGCTGGTAATCGACTCCTTGGTTGGGGCCTCAGTGCTGCTGCTGTTGCTGTAGCCTGAGGTGGCGTCGTTCAGAGCAGATGTGCAAGTTTTGAACGTGGTGTCGGCGTCAAAGGCCTTGTAAAAGTTCAAGCAGGAATCGCTCAAGTCTGCTGGGTACTGCGACGACAAAAAAAAGAGATGAGCTCTACGATCCTTTACCAACAGAACAAGGTCTACTCACCGACTGAGCCAGGACGGTTGTCGCAACAACGGAGACAACGGCCAATGTGGACTTGGAGAACATTGTTGGCGTATGGAAAGGATAGGAACTGATGTAAAGAGCGGAGTGATTTGTCGTTTATAAAAAAACAGACAAAGAGAGTTGAAGGCACTGAGTACTTGAGTTCGGGGGAAAGAAAAGTGGGAAAACGTTGACCAGGCATTTTGGGGTCTTTTTCCCTATTTCGGCAAGAAATCATGCCAAGCAGGTGCAAATAGAAACGCATCATGTGATCTTGACATTCTGACGTTCAGGGTCCCTTCCGCACGGACCCTCTTCCAGACCGCCTGCCTTCAAGCTGACATTCATCTACGCGCTCAATACACGCCAATTCCACGAGCCTGAACGAGCGCCAGGGTCTTTGCTGAGAGCCGTACTCCTGTCAGATACCCACCTGCCCACAGAGAAGATTCAGACCAGACCAGTACCATTCACTGGAGTGTTTCATCCTCCCTCGATCAACTTTGCGGATGTTCCAGACGCAAGAGAATACTGTCATTCCAGCCTCGCTGCTTTGTTCGCGATTGAAACGGAACGTCTTCTATCGATCATCTGCGCGTGTGATACACGTTTCTGGGTCCTTGTTGATTCGTTCCTTTTTTTGCATGCACAGGAATGAGGAAATGCGGGAGCCTCGTGCCCAGCTACCAAGATTATTGGTCGATTCGATATTCTGAAAGGTCCAATTGGGTCATGACTGTACGTCTCGGTTTCTGTACTAATTGTCGCGGGCGGGGACAATAGCAAATACTCCGAGGCTGTAGTTCGCAATTTGCCCGTGTCAACACCCGCAACCCTCAGATCTCAGTCGTCGTCATGATCTTGATACTGGAAAGTGCATCTTCAAGATTCATCACGAATGCATGATCCGCTTGTGCACCCGCCACTCTCTCTCAAGCTCATGTTATGCTCTCATTTGCCAGTTTAGATATAAGCATTAATGGGGTAGTGGTAACCTGGGTCGTTGCCATCTGATGGGCATAGCAGTCTCTCGACCCGCCGGGGGTTCGATTCCCTCTTAATGCAATGGGAAATGGTAATCTCTCCCTTTTTCCTTTCGTTTGGTCTCCAGTACTAGGCTGGTCGTCACATCGAGGTTCGGGGTTAGCGAGCGGAGAAGATAAGTGCGTCTACTAAAACCCTCCTTTCCTCTCTACAGAATAACGCCCCGCACCCCCAAACCTTCGTTGAAATGTCGCGAGCGAGGTCATAGACCCATTATGCACGGCTGTATGATATAATACGCCTACCTTCGACGGGGCAGCTCCCGAATGGGAGAAAGTAAAACGCTAGTCGGAGGAGAATCAATAACAGATGTGGAATGGTCTCAGAGGAGGAGGAGCCACTCCACTCCGTACCATGGCTCGCCATCGAAAGGTGAATATTGAGAGTGAGAAAACACAGAACTGGAGACGTTCTACCATCGAGTCGCTGATAGAGAAATCGTCTGCCGTGTAACCCGTGCAGCGAGGGAACAAATGAGCAAGAAGGGGCCTCGAGCTAGTTTTTAGTTGACGACGCCATGAGCCGGGCCTTTGTGTGCAACCAAATCCTGTCTAACTGACCATGTCAGGACGCGTCTCTTGTCCGAAGAAGTCGTACACTTACTCGGGTTGGAGTCAATACTTGGTCGATACTAATTTTCGAGCCTCCAGGTCGTGGTTGATGTCAAGAATGCGGTTCAAGCCAAATCCCATTCACCGGTGCCGCACATTGTGCACTGTGCCGGTCCGAGTGACCGGCGTTGAAAAGCTAAGCGCCCTCGAGCACTCAGCAACGTTGTCTCTTGCATTCATGTCGGTTGCGCGAGTGATGGTGAAATTGGGTGCACACAAGCTCTTTCAGGTCGAAAGTTGGTCGAAAGCCAGAATTTGCTTGTAGGTCTTCGTGAAAATTTACCCTAGGTGTGTCTATCAACCTATATTTCAATGTATAAGGCCTGAGGAATACATTTTTCGAATCGCTCAGAGATATTCTCGCTCCCGATTGCCCTTGGCCGATGATCGACGACTGAATACTCAGCAAGTCGCTACAGGGAAAGGCCACGTATGGAGCTTCTGGCACGAATGACTATACTCGTTGGTGCACCGTATTACCGGTCGCCATCTATGCCTTCGCTTCGTTGGCTATGCGGTTTTTACCGGCATAGTATGACAACACCAGAAACTTCGCATCTACCCAAATTTATCTTTTCGTGAACAAGGTCTCCAGAGGCCACCTCGCCGAGGAGACACGCCGCTTTCGAAGGGTATCGGTAGGCCCCAATTGCAGCGTTGCAACATGAACTCTCGTTGTCGTCGAAGCTGTCGTGGTTCAGGCTCTCTCATTGTATGTGATCATTTCATGCCTACGGGAGCTTTGTCACTTGGTATTCACCATCAACTAATGTGCATTTTTCAGCTATCGCCGGTGCTCACAAACGAAACAATGCGCGATACCTGGTTCACTACTGAATTTTTGCTCGACAGATAGGGTGAGCTTTCGGTGGCGGCCTGTTCCAAGGAGGGAATGGCACATATAATTGTACGATGGGACCCAAACGTACGCGTAATCGCTCAAGGCTCAGACTAAACGCGAGAATATGAACTCTGGAGCTACCGACGTGCTCACCCAACGAAATGATAATCTCTCCTGAGACTCCTCCTGACCTTGGGCTTTTTCAATCTGCTGCCGCATACGACAACCACCCACCGATGGCTTAGGACTTTGGATATGTTTGGAGTGTGGGGAAGGTAGGAGATGGGGCGTGACGAACTGGGGCTAAAGGCGAGGGGGAAGAAGGGCATCAGACAGTGGCTTCGGATTATCGAGTAGTATTGGCGAGCTTCAGGATGAATGGCGTACTGCGGCAACATCCGAACCCATTTCGAATCGAATGAGCAACCCTTCGACCATCGGATAGTGCTAGTATCTTGGACAATATTCGCCGCGATTCGACGGAGTCTGATGGAGTTTTTGGCGCTGGTCAGGGAGGAATCTCATCGGTTTTGTCGTCATTTTACGTCCAATGGCGTTGATAACTTCTTCATCGGTCGAAGGGGGGGTTTTCTCGTCCAGTCACCCGCGCGAAACCAACTGCTACCACCGTCCAGGTTTGACATCTTCCAGTGTAGTGCGCAGGCTGAACGTTTAGCAGTGGATACGCCGGTGCACTTGTGGTTCGAACCATTCAAGTCGTAGCTTTCCTACTAAACACTCATCACACAAATGTCAATGGGGAGTCGAGTGGGATCTTGGATGACGTGTGCCTCGAGATCTGGGGTGGTTTGTCGAAGGATCTATTGCTTTCATCGAAGCCGCAAGACGCTGGTGATCACCTCACGAGTACTGGCATAGACAATTTGCAGGTTCGAAGTCCATCTGGAGAATTGTCAGGAGGCCAGGCTAACTTTGGTAACGATGTCCTCGTGAGAGACTATCCGCAAGATCCACCAAAACTCCTCGATCCCTGACACGCATGTGGGGTAAAACAGGCGCTCAAGACTTCTCCGCCTCGGTCGTGCAAGACTTAGATGGCTAGGCCAGTACCCGGGTTATCATCTGGCTGGTATGTGCGGAGCCAATCTTGATATCAATAACCAATGCCTTCCGATGCGGTGACGCTGGCCGGAAGAATCTCAAAAGCGTTCAAAAATTCGACTCCAAGCCAGTGAAGTGGATGTCCTCTTTGGCCGTCAGAGCACGTTGGGACCGATGTTTTTACCTCCACGATTTGACTTTCCTCTGCAAACCGAGGAGCCTTTGGCGGTGACGACCTCAGTTGTCACCGGATACTGACACCGACTCATTCAAGTTCATTGGCGCTCACGAATATCGTTCCGATCGGTAAAGGGCTTCTCCTATGAAATCTGCCATGCAGACTGCCGTTGCTCCACGGAATTCCGTTGATTTCTTTGCCGCAAGCACCCCAGACCCAAACAGCGTCACACGTTGACGTGAAACTGTAGATACACACTAATGACCAGGCCGCCTTTTTCCTGTGGAGTCTTTTCACGATATACAATCCCCTCTTTCATTGAGCTAGTCCCTCGCTTTCAACCTCATCTCAAATCCATTCACTCACCAAGTACCAAGCGGCATGCCTCAATTGAAGTACATCGTCGAAGGAGCCAAGGGTGGCATGACTGAGGGGGCTTCGGCCCCCAATCGCCTCGAAATCAACGACTTTGTCAAGAACGAAGCCCACTTCTCTCTTTATATCCAAGCTCTACGTGAGTTTCTCCCGCTCTTTTATGTTCAACTGTGGCTGACATGCGATCACCAGAGAAGCTCCAGCAGAAGGACCAGAGCGAAATCGACTCGTTTTTCCAAATAGGTGGCATTCATGGGCTTCCTAACGTCAAGTGGGGCAGCCCTGACGATGGTCCCGAAACCGAACGTGAAATCCGCAAGCCATGTAGGGGCTACTCTGACCTGTGCCATGGAGAAGTCCTGTTCCCGACCTGGAATCGATCTTATGTGATACTCATTGAGGTAAGCCGTTGAAATGTACGACGTCCCTGTTTCCGTTGGTTGACTCTTCCTATAGCAAGCTATTCAACGTGAAGCCATGGAGATTGCTAAGAACTACACGGTCGACGCGCAATGTTTCAAGGACGCTGCTGAGAGCCTACGACAGCCTTACTGGGATTGGGCCAAAAACTCAGTACCCCCACCGGAGGTTATCTCATTGGAACAGGTCACCATCATTGGGTTCAATGGAGAGAGGGTTTCTGTTGCCAACCCACTTCGGAGGTATACGTTCGACCCACTCAAACAATCCTTCGGGTTTCCAAAACCGTTCGACAAGTGGGGAACCACTTTGAGGCACCCGACAGATGGCACGGAGAACGCTACGGAGGACGTCGATGGGCTGAGAAAGTAGGCTTTTGATCCTTGTTACAGACGCCAGTCTGATGCTGAAATTCCTTTCTCCTTAGACGTATGGCGAAAGCACAGACCGACATCGAAACCAAGACATACTGCATGCTCACTCGAGTTTATACCTGGGACAACCTTAGCAACAACAGAGCGTGGGACGACCGGTTTGTCGCCAACAGTTTGGAAGCCATCCATGACTGCATTCACGTTAACATTGGTGGTGGCGGACATATGGATTCTATCGATGTGGCCGGTGAGAACACCCTACCTTCGGCCTTCCAAGCGGTCCTCTAACGTAACCCCCATTGGTGTAAGCCTTCGACCCGATCTTCTGGATGCACCACGCACAAATAGACAGGTTGCTTTCTCTATGGTTCTCCGAGTACCCCGGCATCTGGGTCCCTTGGGGAGGCATCGAAGATCCAAGTAAGGAAAAGAAAGATATGAAAAATGCTTCAACACGCGAGTTCTTCTCTCTCGGTATTGCGTAGCACTGTTGAGCCCTGGGACTGATACACAGCTTTTTGAATAGCTCTTTGGCCATTCCGGAGCACCGGGTCCACTTTCTGGAAGTCAGAGGCGTTCGAGGACACTGGCGCTTCCCTTGGGTACACATATCCAGACTTCAACAAGCCGATTGCCGAAGAACCAACCGGACCATTACCAATATCTATCGGTCACAAAATCAATTATCTCTACGCAGGAGCCGCTTTCAACCAATCGTCTCAGAAAGTAGTACAAGAGTCTCACGCAACGGCTGGCACGACGTTTCGGTTTGGCCCTTTCTGGGATTGGACCGCCCGTATACGTGTCAAAAAATACGAGGTCGGGAGTAGTTTCAGTATTCCCCTCTTCGTAGGCGGCAGGGTTCCGGATGACCCCAAAGAATGGCTGACCACTGAGAACTTTGTCGGAGCGCATCATGCTTTTGTTAGCAGGCAAGTTCCTGTGTTGTACGAGCCGGCGGTCCTTGAACTGATGTTTATCCTTGCATCTAGCGTGCCAGACAGTTGTGATGATTGCACAAAGCGAAAGGACATCACCATCGAGGGTTTCGTCCATCTCTCGCATATCCTTGCGGGACACAAGCCAACCGAGTCGTTGGACTCGGACAAGGTGGTACCGTATCTTACAACAAACCTTCATTGGCGGGCCATCAAGGTTAC